ATTTCACATTTAATGAATCTTATTGCTTGGCTCCTGAATTTTGATACTTAATGGATTCACAAATGTTTTGATAAATTTCTCAACGTCTAACTTTAAAAGCAGCTACAAAATATTGATGCATAAATTCGAGTAAATGCTTAAAAATAAACATTTGTTTTTAAACATTGATTTTTTTTTTCATTGCTCCTTTTTTGAATCTCGTCTCGATTGCTTTCAATTTTCCATTATTGACACACAAAACAGCAGTAGTAGCTACAAAAAAAAAGCATTTCCATCTCTTATTTCAATCTACTCCCTGTTAAAAAAAAATGAAGTAAGCCACAAACAATCATCGAAGGATTTCAAATCATCTCTTTTCGTTCCTTTGCACGCATTGTCTTTAAGCACTTTTGAAAATCCTCAATGGATCTGTTAAAATTTACGATTCTTTTTTTCTATTGATACTTTATTCCATTTTTGCGCTTTTTCACTTTTTGTAGCAGGTTTGTTTGGGAGAAGTGAGAGATTTTTATGTGCTTCTGATGAAGAAATAATGTTTTCTGTGCTTATTAGATTGGAGATGGAGTTTTATGGTATTCTGACCTATCAAATGATGTACGGCTTGATATGAACTAAGTTACGAAAAATGCGCTCTATCGATCCCATCCCCCCCCCCCTTCTACTTCCATTTCCTTATAACGCATCTCATGCATAAGAAACAAAAATTTGAATTTTTGTGAATATGTCTTAAAAATTTATTTTCATGCCATTTCCTCCTGTTTATTTCCATAATATTTGAATTTTTATGGACATGCGGAAGAAATTTCATCCCCTGTATCTGCTTTATTTATTACACTATTAGAGACTCTAGACGAGCATCCGTAACGATTTAAAGTAGCGCTCAAACTTCTTTTTTTTTTGAAAATCGATAAATGCGTAAGTACCTATTGATGGATATGGACTGAGAAAAAAAATATGCAGGGTCCGGCAGAGTTCCATTCCATTAAGCTTTATTTCCAATTGATATGAGATGGAAAATAGAAAATTTTTGAGCGATAAATTTGTACTTTTTGGAACGTGACGATGATGAAGAAGGGATTTGAAAGACTTTGAAGTGGAAATTTTTCCTTTTTCTTTTAGAGTTGCCTGACTTACTGTTGTATTTTTTATGCCTAGTTGGTGAGAAATCAATTTGAAGAATAAATATCGAATGATGAAGAAATTGTTTGTGAATTTTATTTTGCGAGGGTTGAATGTAATTTTATGATTGATTTCGGGATGCGTTAACACTTTTTTATCCCGTTCGTGATCAAAGATGTTTGTGTGTCTATGTAAAGCTTCCTGGGGTTGTTTTCACTGCATCTTCAGTATCAATTTATACAATTGACTACACAAATTTGTTACATGGGTATTTGGTGCGTTTAAGCCAAAATCATGAAGCCAATGAACTTTAGCAGGTTTGTAAGGCTACTCCTGGTACCTCATTCCTATCTGGATACATTTCTGTCCTCAAAAAAGCATCACACATATATAAATATTTTATTGTTCATTTATTAACTGTTTTTGGAGCTGTGATTTTAATATTAAGACAAGAAACTTATAAAACTTACAAGTTTAACCAGCTTTTCAATTAATTCAACTATGTTATTCTTAACTTTAATTTATTTTAATCTTTGGTTCAGTTGCTGTTCAGAATCTTGTTCATTCGTATTAAATTTTCCAAAAATATCCAACAAAATGAAAATGTAAGTGAATTTTAAACAAAAGTAAATCCAAAGTTGTGATTAAAGCAATTTTTTCAGATTAGGCATTTCAATTATTTTCATAATTTTCATTGCATCTTAAAAAACAACTTTATCGGATGAAAAAGTCAGTGGATACCCACGTAACCAAAGTATTCCACACATTTTCCATTGACATAGATGGAATATTTATGTCCTTTCCCCAAAACAGTACATAATGTATCATTTATGTATTACATACATGAAATATCCATGTATAGTCCATGTGTAATACATCTATGTAGCACTTTAAAAATTTTGCCATTCAGACAATTAAGAACAATTTTTGCTGCATTTTATTTTTTTAAGTTATTTGTTTACATTGTGAAAAATGTGTTTTTAAAAATTGTTGTGAAGTGAAAATTTAATTTAAAAGTACAATATAGATTCGTAAATAATTAAAAGGAGCAAGAAATATTGTTTGGTGAGTAATTATAGGGAATATAGTAGAACATCGATTATTAAGGTAAGAAAAAAATATTAATATTTAAAATGTAAAGTGTCAACGATGTTTTAAACATCTAATATTTTAATCATCTTTCTTGTTTCTTTTCTTCTTTTCTGTCTATTTTAAGGTATAATTCAGTAAAAATTTACAATTTTTCAGGAAATTAATAATATTTTGAGTTACAGTGTTAAGTTTTTTCTAAGTGTAAATTGTCCTTTTTGATTTCTATAAGTTTAAAATTATATTAATTTTTAATAAATTAAAAGTTTAACATAAATTAGTTAAACTTTAAGCATTAATATGTGCATTAATTAATAAAAATCGAGCATTTTTTATTTCAGGCATTTCAATCCATTTATAATCCACAAAATAGTACAAATGTATTACATCAATGCACTATACATGTGCAGTACACAAAATCGTACAAATGTATTACATCAATGTACTATACATGTATTGTACACAAAATCGTCCATGAAATCATCCATCTCCATAGGACAATATCGTTCCATGTATCATCCATGGATGATACGCATGGACTATACATGGAATAAAATCGCGTAATACATGTATCGTCCATCTATGGGATTTTGGTTACGTGGGTACAGACATCACTTGGTATCGATTTGGTATGGATTTATGGACTTACTTCGTTCATGCCAATAAAAAGATAACGATTAAAAATGCTGAAATTGATCCAACTAAAGTCGAGTACAGCAAAGCACTGCTGTTCAAGAATAACAAGAACATTGAATACTTACCTGTTACTATAGCTCAGATCTTTCCAAAAATTATTGAAAAAATGATGCCTACAATTGCTCAATAAAAGAAATTAAGTATGAAAACTTCGAAGACTTAAATGGGCTTCAATTAGTCAGCTTACAATATGGAGAGATTTCTCACGTTCCTAAAGACATTTTCAAAGATTTAAGTAAATTAAAGTTTCTTTTCCTTAAAATAAATTGATGAACAAGTATTTCAAAATCTTGGTCATTTAATCTACATGAACTTTGATGACAACCAAATCACTTCCATTACACGAGGAACACTTGAAAATTTGACAGAATTGCAAAATTTTACAATCACTGGAAACAATCTCCAAGCAGTGGATGATGGATATTTAAAAAAAAAAAACAAAAAACTCGAGTGGCTTCGGATCGATAAAAATAAAATTTAATCTTTAAAGCCAACAATGTTTGACAATATGAGAAACTTATTGTTTATTGATTTATCTAGCAATGAGTGTATTGATAAAATTTATAGAGTTGATTCTGACGATTGTTCAACGAAACTTCCGCATTAATGGCATCTAAAGCTTAATTAATAAAAAAGGATTTATTTTTTAAATTTCACCCAATTTAACATTAGCTATTTGAATTTCATTAAAAATTATTTCATAACTCCGTTTGAAGATTAAAAATGTTTTCTGTTCAACTTTACCAATTTCAAAGCAAAAAATCTATTTCATGATTAATTAATCCATAAAATCTTGTTTTTGGTACGCGGATCTGACGATGAAGGTTGTTTGTTTTTCATCATTGATGTTTGACAGAAAAAAAAAATAAGATGAATTTCGAGGAATTGCTACGTCGCCCTTTTTTTTTCGTTTCCCCAATTTTCACTTTACAATTTTTGTGTGCTGCTTTTTTTTGTGTTCATCATCATCGAAACAAATTTCACGGCTCCGTGATGAATTAATTATAAAAAAAGCGCGCCAAGATGAGCTGTTGGGTCTCTTTATCTTGTTATTTAGTGAAGATTTTTTTTTTGAGAAGAAGATGAGTGATTGTGGATATTATGTCTTGGTGTCATTCAGGCGCGCAGCAAGGGGAGAGGGGGATTTGATGACAAGAGTTTTAGAATTTTTCTCGAAAATTCACTTTAATGGAAAATTTTGGGGGTGGGGATTTTCCATTAATAAAAATTTTTTGGACCCCCCCTCTATCCCCTCTCTATAAGTTCCTAGCTACTCACTTGGTGTCATTTTGAAGTTTTTAAATTTTAATCATTTTTGGCAACACAGACGAAAGCGACTTTATATTGCAAATTATTCTCAATTTTTGAACAAACCAGACATGAAGCCAGTGATATAAATTCTTTACTTATTCCACCTTTTTCATCTCATCTTGTTCCTCTCAAAACAAAACAAAAATCGACTCATAAAACACCGTAAAAAAACAGGTTGAAAAAAGAAGATGAAGGCACCCTTCATATAAACATTGTGATTATTTTCCATCCACTTTCATGCCTCCCATCCATCCATCCATCTATCCATTTATCTAGCTATCTATATTTATTCACTTTATGTGTATCCTTACTATCCGAAAAAAATAATATTACAACGAGATGATGAAAAAAGAAATTCTTCTCGTCTAACCGTCGTAATTCAATAAGTGTGTTTAATATTCTGAGGGGATGTTCAAATGATAATGCTATTTTATGTAGTTAAACACAGTCTTTATCGTAAACGAGGGGAGTTGCTTCTTCAAATTCTCATTTCGTTATGGCCTAATTTTTAATTATAATGATGAAATTTATAGCAAACTAAAAGCATTTTAATGAGGTTTTTGTTTTGACTTGAAATGTCTTGTTGCTTCTGTTTCCATTGCTAAAATATAACTCCACACTGAATATAAAGACTGCGCCTATATTGACAATAAGTTGACAAGTGTTTTTTCATAACTTCGGTTTTGTTTAATTTTTTCCAAAAAAATCTAAATATAGAACTTATCAAGTGATGACTTTAATATTTTATTATAATTTAACCACAAATGTTCATTATTGAAAGCACATTTGACAATTAAAGTATCTTTTAAGCGAATTTTCATATAAATAATGAATAGTGTTCAAGTGATAAGTGCAAATAAAACTTATGGCTATAAAGATGACCAAGTATCTGTTCTGAATAATTTCAACATGTTAGTCCCTCACGGTAAAATGTAAGTTTACTCGTGATTTATTGCAGAAAAGTTACAAAAAATATTTAATTAAAGTTACTGCCTTCTCGGTTCATCTGGATGTGGTAAAACCACATTGATATCGTGCATTTTGGGTGTAAAAAAGTTAGATTCTGGTTACATAAAAGTCCTACAGGAGATAGTGTCACACAAACGACCACATAGCTGCATAAATTCAATTGGATATATGCCTCAAAATATTGCACTTCCAATGGCTATGTCAATAAAAGAAATCGTAACATTTTTCGCAAATATTAGTCAAATGGATATGATGTCATTTAAGGAACGATACGAAATGTTGATGGAAATGTTGGAATTAAAATCTGAAAATGCCTTAATTGAGGATCTTTCAGGTGGTGAAAAGAGACGAGTTTCATTTATTGTTGCTTTAATTCACAATCCACAATTGCTGATTCTTGATGAGCCAACTGTTGGACTGGACATAATGATTGTTAAGAAAATTTGGGACTTTATGAGAACATCTGTAAAGCTGAATTCAAATTTAACAATTTTGATGTCAACGCATTATCCACATGAAGCTGAAAAAGCAGATATTTGTGGATTTATGAGAAACGGAAAGCTCCTAGTTGCTGATTCTCCAAAAACAATTATGAACAATTTAAATGCTCCAAATCTTGATGAAGCATCTTTAAGGTTGTGTTATGACAAGTCAAATGAAGAAATTTTAGAAAGTAAGCAAATTAATCTATCTGTGACTGATATGATTGAAGCTGATAATCAAATTTATGAGTTTAAAAGAAAAATTATGGAAAAACGAACAATCATGGCGTTGATCAGAAAGAAAGTGCTGTGGACAAATCATTCAAAAGCGTATGTTTTATTGAAGTTAAAGGGAGTTGCCAGAGCAACTACATTTTACATAAATTGTTTTATATTGTAGGATAATTTTAGCCACTTTATTGCCACCTTTGTATCTCTTTATCCTGTTGATATTCACGATTGGTAGACAGCCACAAGACTTGAAAATCGGTATCATCAACGATGACACAATAGACTGCAGCAAATTGATATCAAGGAGCATCCAATATGATTGCAGAAATGAGGGTCTCTCATGCTTTTTCATCGACAGTATTCCTGACTACAAAATTCAAAAATTAGTTTATATATCTTCTGAGCAAGCAGAAAAAAACTCACAAAAAGGAATAATTGAAGGATATATATACATTCCTTCAAACTTTTCAGTAGAATTTTTGAAGATTCAAAATGTTTTTGACTTTGCTGAATTAAATAATAGTCACACCAGTGTGTATCTTGATAGATCCAACATCCACAAAAGTGAATTTACAAAAGGTGCGATTACTAAAGCTTTTGAAGACTTTATAGATGATGTGATGCCAAAATGTGGTCAACAGCCACATTTGTTCAAAAGTAACATAATTGTAAGAAGCTACAAAGATGAAACATTGAAGTTGAACTTGGAAACTGATAGATCGACTATGCCTGCTGTATTCTTGCTGTTAGTAAAAATCCGATTAATACTTTAGCTAGACAACCCGTTTTTTTAATAATAATTATTATTTCAGATTTACTGTAGCTAGCGGTATAAATTTACTGGTCTTTTCACTGCATCAATACAAGTTTGAAGAAGTTTGGAATAGAATCTTACTTTGTGGTGTCAACGTTCATCAACTCTTAATAATTGAAGTTATCATCAGCCTCATTGTTGCTATTTGCCACGTTCTTTTAACATTGCTTATTAAAATGATATTCTGGGACGATATACAAGTTGAAGATTATCTTGCAGTAATGATTATTGTAGGACTCACAAGTTTAATTGGATGCATGAGCGGATTGCTGGTTGCATCATTAATTGACAATTTTTTTGCCATATCTTCAATTTGCTTCTCATTAATGATGATCTTTTCTTTTTCTGGTGGTGCCGTCTTGTAAGTTTTTATATTCAACTTTAATATAAATTTTATAATTTTAATTTTAATTTTCAGTCCATATGAAGGAATGGATCAATATCTAAAAATGCTGTTTAGATATCTTCCAACTGGATTGCCATCTATTTCATTTAATAATGTAATATTTAAGGGTCATGGTTTGAAACATGTAAATGTCTACAGCAGTATTTTCTTACTGACTTTGTGGATTATTGGATTATTTTTAATAAGTTATTTTTATTTAATAAAGCGAAAGTACAGAAATTTTTAAAACAAGGTTTCCATCCTTTCTATCATGCAAAATAAAAAAATAATTGATTTTTAACGCGATACACAAATTTTCTTTAAAAAACAATTCTGTTCGCCGATGCTAAAAATCTCCTTCATTTTCTTTATAAAAACTTTTGCAAAAGAAAGAAAATTTCACAATCAATAACGCCTTCCTACCAACGCTTAATAGACTTTTACCATAAACATTAACTAAATTTCTAACGCCATTACATTTTATGGTGTGAGACTTACTCTCGTTTTCATTTCTTCGTCATCTACGACCATCTCCCCATATCTACTTTAAAGAAATGCTTTTTAAACATTATCCCGTAAAGAGAAAATTGCGTTCATAAATCTTACTTTTGTAATATTTTTAATGCATCAATGATGATGATGATGATGATGGCGGGCAGACTAAGGATGAGAGGAAGCTGAAAGAATAAACGGAAGGAGATCGTAAAGGATGTTTGGCAAATAAATTTATTGTAACGATGATATATCAATAACCCTTTTGACTTCCTCTTCATCGTTGAGTAATAATGGAAGCAGCATGTGGATGGATGCATAGGAATTAAAGGGTTTTCAACTGGTTATTTTTAAATTATTTTTTAAAAGGATAGCGAGAATTTTGGATCATGTTAATATTCCTTAGGACCCCCACCCACCTTTTCTTAAAAATCCCAAATCATTCTTAACTGAATTTTGAGGTTACTGACCCCCACATCATCCCCTCCCTTTTAACGTTCCTTAAATTCTCCCCAAAATCCTCCCCAATCACACTAAAATTTCTCCAATAACAATCCAATTTCTTATCTAATGCAATAGTCAGCAAATTGATAACCCTATAATAGTCTTTCATATGTCTATGTCTGCAAACTTTACTGTTTTATTTTCATCACCCTTTTAAATTTTGTTTATTGGATGAAATTTATTCTCAATTTTGTTATTATGCCTCCTTTTTTATGACCATGCAAAGTAAAATGAAAACAACGAAGATGAAAAAATTTTTGTTTTAAATTTTCTTGAGCAATAAAAAAAAATAAAAGGGGTAAGAAGGAAAAAAGGAGGATGCAGAGTTGCATATAGAAAAATTGATTGAAAGAAAATTTTGCATATTTTTTAAAGAGGGTGATTCATAGATGTAAGTCCTTGCAAGGATTTGAGGATAAGATACACAATAGTGGTCAAATAAGATCTTCGCATTCTTTGGATTCTCCTTTGATACCCCTTCATATCTGACTCTAGTATGAAAACTTCTCAATAGCTTTGTTAAGAAATGAACAGAAATCTCAAAAAATAAATTCAAAACCACAGCAAGGGATACAAAATCAACCCCCAAAAATAGAGTTACTTTTTTGAAAAATGAAAATTCTTAAAAGATTAGAAATGAATTAAATTGACTTTCGTCAACATAAACAACGTCAAAATCCCCTACGACAATTTTCATTTCCTCCTTTGTTTACATTAAATAAGTGAATCCAATAAATTTGTTCGGCATCTATGATATTAAGTCCTCAATTGCAAGATGAATTTCACTCAAAGAAGACGATAGCACTTAAGGCTGATAAATTTGGTCTTATTTTTCACTTTACTTGATGTTCAATTTGAGGAAAATTCAATCGCATTAAAATGAAATTTTCTTTAAAAGGGAAGAAAAATTGACGAAGAAATAAATTTGAAGGCTTAAGTGGAAATTTGACAGAGCTGATAGTCATAATGATGCTGCAATAAATTGACTGTGATTAGTCAATGATCGTAATTAGATGATGAGGGTTTATGGGAGCTATTTTTCAGATATTTCAGGCTTGATAATTTCCCCAACCTACAATAAAAATCAACTCATAGATTCAGCACAAACGAATCCCAACAAATGCAACCAAAACTTTTTTAATAAATTTATTTTATACGAATTTCAATCAAATTAGCTAAATTAATTTAAGTGATGAGCTTCAATAAAATTGAAATGATTTTTAATTGGAATTCGATTAATTTGATAGGTTTGATGGCTAATTTGGGTGATATGTCGATGATTAAATTCGCTGATCGAAAATTGATTTTTGTTTTTTTCGTGAATTTGTCTAAATCAGGTGCTGTTCGTCATAATTAAATTTTATTTTCAAACTTTTATGATGATTTTGAAATATTAGGAAGTTTAAAATTAATTATTATTTGATGCTTAGTGTTAAAAAATTCAATTATTATCATTTTGCCGGATATCTGCTGATAATAAAAAATTGAAACATTTTTGATGAAGGCAGATAAACTTAATTTCTTTTCCTCTGACTAGTCTGGTTTTAAAGTTAACCTCTAATAGTTCAATTTACTTACTTTTGCTTAATTCGCTGGCCATACAGATCAATTGTGATCCATGGCCTTCCTTAGCTGGCGCCTGAGAAGTCAACATCATTGTCTAAACCTTTGATTTGTGGTGAAAACTACCAACAATTAAAAATGTCCAGCATAGATAAATTTCACTGTCAATTACTCCCGATTTTACTCCACTGAAAAATTCATGAAAAACCAAAATGTCACAGATGCAAAAAAAAAGTTTCATTTTCATCCACAAAAAATGAGATTCAAAAAATCACAATAAGAGCGAACGAGGCATTCAAGCTAACAATTTTATCGCCAAATTCGCATATATGAAAATAAGAAGGGCAGCAGCAGCAGCAGCAGAATAAAAAGTGTATTAATATTTTAATTTATGGCCGAAATGGAAATGGAAATGAATTCAGTGAGAAAAATGGAACAACAGCGGCAGTTTTTGTGCTGTGTTAAAATGTTTAAATATTTATATTTTTCGTTAAACCCCAAAAAATATGAAATAGATTTTTTATAAATTAATCCTCAAATATTTCTTAATTTTCTCAAAAATTAACTCTTCCTGCAAATTCAGCTAATAACTTTTTTAATGGACAATGTTAACAAATGTTAGCTCAAATAATGATTATGACTTACATGATTCTTTAATGGGAACAAGTCTAATATGAAGTTCAAACAAAAGCTTTTACATTTTCCCTTAAAATGGCATAAAATTTTCTCAATTATGAAGTCATTAAACGATGCTAATGGATATTCAACAATGAATTACACAAATTTAATAACTTATTCAAGAGGTGTGGATTTTTGAATGTTAAGTGAGTGCTTTTGGTGTACTTGTGGATGAATTTATGTACTTACAATTGAATTTATGTTTTAATTGAATGGATGGAGCTGTGGTAATGAGAATAATGAATATGAATGAGGATTTATGAGGTAAGTTGATGAATAGCTTGATTATTTTATATTCGTAATTTGGAATTTTAGAGTTTTTAATTTTTTTTCTTCATAATTTTAAAGTTTTTTGAAATAAATTCAAAAATTTTTTAAAATATATTTAAATTTCAAACCCATTCGAAAAATATTATTCTTTACTTATTCCTACAAAAAATATCCTCTCCATTCACTCTCAGTTCCCGTTGTTTTCCACTTAATCTTCTTCTCTCTTTTCCGGTAGCAATGCCAGCATAATATAATAATAAAATTCAGGGCAGAAGGGATTTCTCTTTCATTATTCCATCGGGATAATAGCTGGCACAAAAACAACAAACGAACAAAGCGAAGAAAAACAGAGGAAAAGAGCAAAAAGGCGGTTAAAGCAGTTGCTAGTAGCTGCAGCAGTTGCTATTTTAAAAAATTTATATAAAAGCGTTAAACCGGAAGTTTTGTTATTCAAATTTCATCTACCATAAAATCATGTGTAAATAAACATGAACAGTCCGTGAAATGCGGGAAGTTGATTCCTTCATAACTCAGTGCGGGTGATTTTTTAATGACTTTTGTGGAGCATTAGGATTTTGTCGAGATTGAAAGGTTGTGGATTATTAGATGGAATTGTTTTTCTTATATTTTATCTGTGGAAACAGCTGTGAATAAATTTTTATAATTGAATTTTTAATGTCTTTTTGTTGTAGGTTGGCAATTTTTGATGAAGAGATCAACGTTCTGAAACGGAAATATAATCAAAACATAAAAACATTCAAAGAAGTCGTCAAAAATCATTAAAATTTTTTATTAAAGAAAAAATAATCAAAACTGATCAACAATTCAATTTAACCTTTTCCTTCAATTGTTGCAATCGTGTTGGAGTTGCAGAAGCATTAACACATCGATTTTCACTTAAATCAACAGTTTTAACATTTGACATTTTATCAAACATTGTAGAACTTAAGAATTCAATTCTATTGTGGTTCAACCAAACTCTTTCAAGCTTCTTGTTGTTTTCAAAGTGATCATTATCCAATCTTTGGATAAAGTTGAAGGATAAAGTAATATTTCTAAGTTCAGTCAGTGATGTGAATGCAGTTTTTGGGACCATTGAGAGTTTATTGTGGCTGATATGAAGGGTCCTTAAATTACCAAGCTTATTAAACAAAGTTTCATCAATATTTTGAAAATGGTTGTTTGACAGATACAAGTACTTCAATTTTGTTACATTTTGGAAAGTATTGACAGGTATGAAGGATAAGAAGTTTTGAGACAAGCTGATGTACTGAAGTTCTTTGAGTCTCTCAAAATTTTCTTGATTCACAGTTCTCAATGAACAATTGTATGCAATATAAGCTATTAAGCTTGGAAAGCTCTTATAAACCTTGACTGGCAAGTACGAAACTTTCTTATTTTCCATAAATGTTAATCCTTTGGTCCATTCAGTCTTCTTCTCAGAGATAATTGTATGCTCATTAAAAATTGAATGATTAGGATTGATACAATATGTCCATAGATTCATTTCAAAAGTAGCCCAATGTCTGTCTTTGTAGTATCCGCCCACAGATTGTCCATCGCTTATCACAGCAATAATGAGCAGAATTGTCAGAGATAATATTCTGTGGAATAATGAGAATAAAATGAGCACAAAAAAAAAATTATGAAGATTAAAATTCATGACGTAGATTTATAATTATGCATGGGATGTAGCCTTGTATTTTGTTGATGTTAATTCTTTGATTTCAACATTATACTTAAAAATATGAATTCTAGGTACTAAACAGTCTTTCACAAGCTATGATCCGTGTTTTTCCAAAATATCAACAAAACATTAAATAGGCTTAAAAACCATTCATTTGAGGAATACAAAGAATTCATGGACATATGTCCCACTTGTGGTCATAGACAATATAAAACTTTTTAAAATATCAATTGTGATTCCTAGAATCCATCAAAAAGTATGAATTAAAAAAAAATTATTTATTTCCCTATACTTACTGCCTCATCGTTGGTCTTATCAGCCTGTTTTAAAATTCTTGAATACACTTTCTATTTCATTCAGTTGAAATGACGATTAAAAACTGATGTGATGAGTATGAATCTTCCAAATTTATACAATAAGTTATCGCCAATTTCAAACTGGATTGAACTAGATTTCGATTATTTAACTCACTTAGCTGAATTTCTCTCGAAATTCAATACGAATGCTCTTATCATTGACAAATTTATTTTTTAGCTGAATTTAATCAAATTCATATTTTAATTTTTAAGTCATAAATTTAATAGAAGTAAAAATTGTGGATTCTCGTTCATAAATTAAGTCTTAAGGGTAATGACCTTAGCATACCTTAATATGAATGAAGCAAACTCTGTCTAAATTAACAAACATCCAAGACTTAAGCGTCTTACCTTCAGCATAAAATCCACATATTTTTTGCATCATTCCTTTAAAAAAAGAGCCAAGCAAACAGAATTATGTAAGATAAATCTTTCAAATGATGATACAGTATGTGCAAATCCGAGCATTATATCTCTAGACTTCATATCGCATGGATGCATATAACTACCATAAGTAGTTTGCATAAGTGCTAACGATTGCATAAAGAATTTGCAGCGACTATGTTACCGAAAAAAGCAAATGAAAATGCCAGAAAAAAATTATATAGAGTTTCCCTCAATTTTACTTCCATTCCTCTAATTCAGTTAAATGTAAAATTTAACATACATACACTGACTGTATAATGTTTTATTATGTTAGCATTACAAATCGATTTGCTATGCTGAATGTTTTATTCTGTGTTCTACTCGGTGTGTTCGTTTATTCTCATTCAAATGAAAGTCGTCACTAGCCTTTTTTTGTAAGTTGAAAAATGAAAATTGCTTGTCGAGGTAAAATAAGCGAAAAATCTCTTAAATAAATACACTTACACATATATGCATGCAGATATGCACAATTCATGAGTAATTTTCGTGTTTTTTTTTTTGGAGGGTGGGGAATTGTCAGGGGTGTAAAACCTGTCATTTTTAAAATTTTATAAATTTTTGTTTTTTTTTCTTCTAATTTTGAAACTCACTCGTTCACCCCTGTAATGTCATTTTTTCGGTTGAGCAAAGCTGATGAATTTTTTAAAATTCCAATTTTTTGTCATTCCAAGTCCTCTTCGAGATTATGCAAGTCAAATAGAATAAATGATGGAATGGATGTTGACGTTGGTATTGGATGAAAATGGAAATTTTTTCCTAGAGTTTGCTGAATGTCAAAAAATTATTCTCGGCAGTCTCGTCAGCACTGTTGCATTGAAATACAAAATTTTGTGCCCATCGTGTGATATTTTTGCATAAATATTATTTGAGGTGGTTTGGAAAAATCCACAGGTTGTTGTGGATAAGGCGCAGGTTTTGGGACTTAATTTATGTTGTAAAATTTGAAAGTTGACACCAATTTTAGTAGATGTGTCTTAGAACACAAAAATCAAGCATATCTAGCTTAAAAGAAAAACACAACCCGGAAGCAGCTCCAAATTTCATCCACAAACGAGAATCATAAAACATTTACATTGTATATTTGCATGTGTATGACTACGTGTTTGTTATCCAATGTTGTCGATTTGCATAAGCTATAAACGACTTTTTGTTCTGTCAACTAGTTTTTTCCATGTTTACTTGATGAGTTTTATATAAATATGTGCAGATTTGTTGCACTTTTGTATACGCATTTATTTTTCAGTAAAAAAAGTAGATTTGTTTGGCAAATTCAAAGTATTTAGGTGGTTTGTTCGTTGTTGCTGACAATTTGGTTGATTGGTTTCGTAAAGAAGATTTAAATGTAAATTTTGTGATTGAAAAAGATTTTAAAATTTGCAATTTAATTTATTTGAAGTAAAAAACGTGTTCTATTAGTATAAGAGGTTTGGTTTGGAATTAAGGTTTTTTAGGGGACTAAAGACTTTCAATGACATCATTATTAAAAAATCTCAATTTATGCAAAACTTAATCTAAGTCATTCTTTAATAATTTCAAAAAAAATGCCTAATTCAATAAAAAACTTATCAGTGCACAAAGATCCATCCATTCTATCATCCAAAAATTAGAATTGAACGGAAAATAAAATATCAAATGAACTAGAACAAGAAGGATGAGAAACATAAGAAGATGAGTGAAGGAAAAGGAATTGAATAATAAGCTCCTCAAGCATGGAACCATAAATTAACTCAATTGAAAGTATAAAAATACGGCATGTAATGATGATGAAGGGATAATTTTGTGAGAATGAATGAAAACAATTTGAGTAAGGATGAGGTGTGGAGGTAAAAGGAGCGTAAGGTGTATTCTGAGGATGATGGTTATTGAGTCAATCACAAATGATGTCTTTTTATTTGAACCGCTGACAAACTTTATCCAACCCCCGAATTTCTTAAAATTCAGCATTAAAAACTCATACAAATGTTCTCAAACATCAATTCATTGAGAAAATATTATCTACTACCATGCCTGCAAATGCTGTGCGTAAATGTGTCGAAGTTGAACTATAATTTCTCTTCCTCAACATCCAACATTCTTGCTGCTTCTGATGATGATAAAAAAATACAATGATGATGATGAGTAAAAATGGTAAAGACTGATACACTCTATGGGGATTTTAATGTGAATTGAAACGAAAACATTTCAGGAATGGACAGAAGAAGGAACAGAAAAAAAATGGTTAATGGTTGATTTGGAGATTATTCGTTGCGTAAAAACGATGAAGTGCCCGAGCGGCACAAGGTGGAGGGTGGTCTCCATATGGAATCCATATGAAAGCCACCTCCACTATGTGGGAAGTAAATGGAGGGTTATTTTTTCATCCTTCATATTGATTCCATTTGGATTCCATATGAACTCCGCTTTTTCTTAAATCAAATACCGAAAAACTCGTGCTTTTGAATTTTTAAAAGACAAAGGTCAGATCTTACTGTAATGGATTGAAATATTGTCGAAAAGCTTTACTGAATCATATTGCTTCATTTCAAGCTTTAAAAAAGCAAAAAAGGATAATTTTTTGTGATTTTGTATGAAATTACATACTTCACAAGCGCATGCAGAAATCACTATTATATGGGGTCGTTTAATTTGTATCAAAATTTTTAATAATTTCTTATGTTTCTCACGCGTGTGATCGAGACTTAGAAATTGCTGTGGTTGCGACTTAATTAAATTAAGTTGTAAATTTTTCAATAGTGTTAGTGTACTTTAATTAAGTACTTGCTTAATGCTTTTTATCTTGATATAAAAATTGCGAAACATAGAAAAACACGTGGAAAATCGTACCAAAAATCCTTTGAAAAATACTTCCATTAAACCTCCGTTTGACTACCACAAATGGATCCTCCATCCTCCATCAAAACCTCTCAAATGACTTCCATTTGGTGTTAATAAATGCACGTCCCACGGAGGATTTTCGGAGCTTTGGCTCCGTCAAAGTTCCATGATAGTAAGGTTTTCGGAAGATTTTCAAATGGAGGGTGGAACATGGAGGCTCTGTATAGCTTCCATATGGAAGGCAAATGGAGCCTTTGTGCCGCTCGGGGTGGTCAAACACAATAAATCTTTCGCTCATTCATCCGTGATTGGAAGTAAATAAATAGAAACAGCCCTTCCACTCTTCTACTCTTCCCTCATTCATTTTGTTTCCCTCCATCGCCTTTTTAAAAATAAAAGTTGATCAAATTAACATGGGTTCGCTTAACGGAATCGAAACCAGCAATCTAAATCAAGCCTTTTTGAGATTTTCATTATTTTTTGCTTTTTTATTAATTTTTCTATAGTTAAAAAATATATAAAGTTGGATGTTTATTTGAAGTTGGTAGAGCGCTTTTGGTTTTGGATGCTGAGTTGGATAGATTTGCATTCATATTGTCTATGTTATAGAAGGTTAAGCATGCAAGTCGTCGATATTTGTTAGTGTACTGCAGAATTTCAAGAGCTGGATCATCAAAAAGTCATAATATTAATTTTGGAATATTATGAAGTCAAAATTCATATGAAAAATCTTAAATTCATTCACAAATCCCAGAAAAATTTTCTTTCTATCGCCAAGCTTTAAAAAGTCTAATCCATATTTGTACCCTCACCAAATGGTTACAAACTTTTCCATTAGCTTTCCATCAAAATCAGCTAAGAATAGAAAAGGATGAAAAAGAGCACGAGAAAATTTAAAAAGCGTGTAAAGTGACGGACTGCTTAAGGGATTGATTCAGTTTCTTCATCATCATTTTATTCTTATTTCTCATTCATTCATCTACGGTTTTATTAAGAAGGAAAAGTTTTTTGTTGGGATTGAAATTTTTTTTATCATCATTGAGGAGTAATTCATATTGAAAATGTCGTAAAAACATTTTCATGCAGTTTCAAGCTTGTCGATTAAATATATTTTCAATAACTCAAAATTTTGCCGACATATTGTACATCATTGGAAAGGTATTTATTTGATCTTTAAAAATATGTTAATTAAATTAATTTTAAACCGGTTTTATCGGTTAATTTACCGGTTCAAACTTAGTGAGAAAATTAAAAAAAGTAAATTGGAATAACTTTTACAGTTTTCAACCATTTTCAATGATTCTTTTTTTGGCTGAAAGCCTATATATTTGCAGTTAGCTTTAACATTAATTAAATTTTTTCCAATGTATGGAACATCATTTTTTGCGGCCCCCAAGTTTTTGACTAAAGTAGCTCTTATTTGAAAACGATAATAGATATTGATTTCAAATTTTTTGCATGTTACTTGTATTTTTATTCCCTTTGTAACAACATACAATAACATGGGGTTCATCCATAAATTTTGACCAAAATTTACTAAAACAGCTCTCATTTGAAAACGATAATAGATATTGATTTCAAACTTTTTGCATGTTACTTGTATTTTTATTCCCTTTGTAACAACATACAATAATATGGGGTTCATTCATAAATTTTGACCAAAATTTACTAAAACAGCTCTCATTTGAAAACGATAATAGATATTGATTTCAAACTTTTTGCATATTAATTGTATTTTTATTACCTTTCCAACGACATACAATAACATGGGGTTC